ATGTACCCTCTATCCCTATACTCTGAAGAGTTTTGATCAAGAAAGGATGCTGTACTTTGTCAAATGCTTTTTCTGCATCTATGGAGAGGATCATGTGGTTTGTGTTCTTTCTTTTATTAATGTATTGTATCACACTGATTGATTTGCAGATGTTGAACCAACCTTGCAGCCCAGGGATAAATCCCACTTGGTCATGGTGAATAATCCTTTTAATGTACTGTTGGATCCTATTGGCTAGTATTGTGGTGAGAGTTTTTGCATCCATATTCATCAGGGATATTGGTCTGTAATTCTCCCTTTTGATGGGGTCTTTGTCTGGTTTGGGATCAGGGTAATGGTGGCTTCATAAAATGAGTTAGGAAGTTTTTCTTCCATTTCTATTTTTTGCAACAGTTTCAGAAGAATGGGTATTAATTCTTATTTAAATGTTTGGTAGAATTCCCCTGGGAAGCCATCTGGTCTCGGGCTCTTGTTTTTTGGGAGATTTTTTATGACTGCTTCAATTTCCTTAGTGGTTATAGATCTGTTCAGGTTTTCTATTTCTTCCTGGTTCAGTTTTGGTAGCTTATACATCTCTAGGAATGCATTCATTTCTTCCAAATTATCTAATTTGCTGGCATATAGTTGCTCATAATATGGTCTATAACTCTTTGTATTTCTTTGGTGTTGTTCTGATCTCTCCTCTTTCATTCATGATTTTATTTATTTGGGTCCTTCCTCTTTTCTTTTTGATAAGTCTGGCCAGGGGGTTATCAATGTTATTAATTCTTTCAAAGAACCAGCTCCTAGTTTCATTGATCTGTTCTATTTCTTTTGATTTCTATTTCATTGATTTCTGCTCTGATCTTTATTATTTCTCTTCTCCTGCTGGGTTTAGGCTTTAATTGCTGTTCTTTCTGCAGCTCCTTTAGGTGTAGGGTTAGGCTGTGTATTTGAGACCTCTCTTGTTTCTTGAGAAAGGCTTGTATTGCTATATACTCCTCTTAGGACTCCTCAAAGGGATGCCTTTGCTGCATCCCAAAGATTTTGAACAGTTGTGTTTTCATTTTCATTTCTTTCCATGAATTTTTTAAATTCTTCTTTAATTTCCTGTTTGACCCATTCATTCTGTAGTATGATGCTCTTTAGCCTCCATGTATTTGAGTTATTTCCAACTTTCCTCTTGTGATTGAGTTCTAGTTTCAAAGCATTGTGGTCTGAAAATATGCAGGTAATGATCCCAATCTTTTGGTACCGGTTGAGACCTGATTTGTGACCTAGGATGTGATCTATTCTAGATAATGTTCCATGGGCACTAGAGAAGAATGTGTATTCTGTTGCTTTGGGATGGAATGTTCTGAATATATCTGATGTCCATTTGGTCCATTGTGCCATTTAAAGCCTTTATTTTCTTGTTAATCTTTCAATTAGATGATCTGTCCATTTCAGTGAGGGGGGTGACAAAGTCCCCTACTATAATTATATCGTTGTCGATGTGTTTCTTTGTTTTTGTTATTAATTGCCTTATATAATTGACTGTCCCATGTTAGGGGCATAGATATTTAAAACTGTTAGATCTTCTTGTTGGATAGACCCTTTAAGTAGGATATAGTGTCCTTCCTCACCTCTTATTATAGTCTTTGGTTTAAAATCTAATTTGTCTGATATAAGGATTGCCACCCCAGCTTTCTTTTGGTGTCCATTAGCATGTAAATGGTTTTCCACCCCCTCACTTTCAATCTGGAGGTGTCTTTGGGTCTAAAATGAGTCTCTTGCAGACAGTATATTGATGGGCCTTATTTTTTTATCCAATCTGATACCTTGTGTCTTTTTATTGGGGCATTGAGCCCATTTACATTCAGGGTGACTCTTGAAAGATATGAATTTAGTGCCACTGTATTGCCTGTAAGGTGACTGTGACTGTATATTGTCTGTGTTCCTTTCTGGTCTATGTTGCTTTTAGGTTCTCTCTTTGCTTGGAGGACCCCTTTCAATATTTCTTGGAGGGCTGGTTTCGTCTTTGCAAATTCCTTTAGTTTTTGTTTGTCCTGGAAGCTTTTTATCTCTCCTTCTATTTTCAATGACAGCCTGGCTGGATATAGTATTCTTGGCTGCATATTTTTCTCATTTAGTGCTCTGAATATATCATACCAGTCCTTCCTGGCCTGCCAGGTCTCTGTGGATAGGTCTGTTGCCAATCTTATGTTTCTACCGTTGTAGGTTACAGACCTCTTGTCCCGAGCTGCTTTCAGGATTTTCTCTTTGTCTCTCAGACTCGTAAGGTTTACTATTAGATGTCGGGGTGTTGACCTATTTTTATTGATTCTGGGGGGAGTCCTCTGTGCCTCCTGATTTTTGATGCCTGTTTCCTTCCCCAAATTGGGGAAGTTCTCTGCTATAATTTGCTCCAATGTACCTTCTGCCCCTCTCTCTCTTTCTTCTTCTTCTGGGATCCCAATTATTCTAATAATTTTTCATCTTATGGTATCACTTATCTCTCGAATTCTGCCCTTGTGATCCAGTAGTTGTTTATCTCTTTTTTCTCAGCCTCTTTATTTTCCATCATTTGGTTTTCTGTATCACTAATTCTCTCTTCTGCTTCATTTATCCTAGCAGTTAGAGCCTCCATTTTTTATTGTACCTCATTAATAGCCTTTGTGATTTCGACTTGGTTAGATTTTAGTTCTTTCATTTCTCCAGAAAGGGTTTCTCTAATATCTTCCATGCTTTTTTCAAGCCCAGCTAGTATCTTTAAAATCATCATTCTGAACTCTAGTTCCAACATCTTACTAATGTCCATACTGATAGGTCTTTGGCAGTCGGTACCGTCTCTTGTTCTTTTTTTTTGACGTGATTTTTCTATCTTGTCATTTTGTCCAGAGAATAGATGAATGAGAGAACAAAATGCTAACAGGGTAACAATGACCCCAGAAAAATACACACTGAACAAATCAGAAGAGACCTGAAACCGGGGGAAGAAAGGGAAAGAAAGAAAAAAAAAGAAAGAATATGATCAAATATGATCATCCTGGTGCATAGATCAGTGCCACACACTAGATTTTGGGCGTAATTTGGTCTGTTAGAAGAAAGTGCCTCCCAAAATTTTAAAGAAAGAAAAACTTATATATGTACAAAAATAAGGATAAATAGGATGAAGGGATAGAATATGACTGTAAAGATGAAAGTTATAAAAGATTTTATAAAAGGAATTGATAAGAAGTTGGTTGAAAAAAGAAAAAAGAGGAATTAAAAAAAAGGGAGAGAATGTGATCAGGCAGGAGACTAGAACAAAGCCATACACTAGAGATTTAGGGTATATTTTGGTCTATTAGAAGAAACTGCATCCCAAAAGTTTAAAGGGAGAACTTATATATATATATATATATACCAAAAATAAGGTTAACTACTATGAAGGGATAGAATATGAGTGTAAAAATGAAAAATAAAAAAGACTTTTAAAAAAGGGATTAATAAGATGTTGGTTCGAAAAGGGAAAAGGAAAAATTCAAAAAAAAAAGAAAATTAAAAAAATTAACTTTGAAAGACTAAAGAATCATGGTAAAAAAGCCATGCATTCTATGTGCAGTATTCCCCTAGCGCTGGAGTTCTCCCGTTCTCCTTATCGGTAAACTTGGTCTTGGCTGGCTGTTCATGCTGATCTTCTGGGGGAGGGGCCTGTTGCCGTGGTTCCCAAATGTCTTTGCCGGAGGCGGAATTGCCCCGCCCATGTCGGTCCGGGCTAAGCAAGCTGCTCGGGTTTGCTCTCAGGAGCTTTTGTTCCCTGCAAGCTCTCAGCACAGCTTTGGAGGACGAGAGTGAAAATGGCAGACTCCCAATCTCCACCCTGGAGGAGCCGAGAACTTGGGACCCCACTCCTCAGTGCGCCCCCAGAGAAAAGCAGTCAGTCACTCCCGTCTCCCCGGTCTCCGGCCGCACTCCATGCTCCCCCGGCCTGTGACCGAGCGTTTCTATCTCTGGCACCTGACCCCGTGTGGTCTCCAAACCCAGCAGATCCCTGCGGTGCGCTCCCGCGCCGCTCCTCCCGGGGGAGGAAGGGGAGTCTCCCCGGCTCTGCCGCTTGTGGGGTCCCTGCTGGAGGAGCAGTAGCCCGACTGGGCCGCGGATCACAGTCTATGGCAACCCCGAGCTGAGAGCCCGCGCCTCGGCTCCGTCTCTGCAGCCGGCTTCCCCGCTCCGATACCTGGGAGCTCTGCCGCACTCAGGCACCCCTGGTCTTTCTGTGACCCCGAGGGTCCTGAGACCCCACTGTCCCGCGAGGGTTCCACCCCCCGCTTAGCCACTGCAGCGACATCCCTCAGCGGAGCCGACTTCTAAAAGGTCCGATTTTGTGCTCCGCGGCTCTATCACTTGCCAGAAGCGGCCGACGGAGGCCCCCTCCCCCGCCGTCTATCCTCCCAAATATCGCCTCGGATTCTCTTCTCCGCACGTCCTACCTTCCAGAAAGTAGTCGCTTTTCTGTCCAGAGAGCTGTTACTATTCTTTTCTTTGCTCTCCTATTGAGTTTGTAGGTGTTCAGAATGGTTTGATTCCTATCCAGCTGAATTCCTGGGACAAGACAAAATTTAGGTCTCCAATCCTCCGCCATCTTGTTCCTCTGCTTCATTAATATCTCTTAAAGGGTAATTTAGGTTTCATCTTTCTGCTTTCCCTCAGTTTGCACCTCTTAAATATGTTTTAAAATCTCTCATCCATTAGACTCCTATTCTCTATTTCCTTATAAGTTTATACCCTTTAGAATATTTTACTGTCATTTTGGTGGTATTTACAAAGGAGAGGGGATAATGCATGTAATCAATGAAATGAATTGTGCATTTTTGTCAAAATCATACAAAGAGGAATACTGTCAGGTAGTAAGAATGGGTTTAATCTGGTTCTATGGGGTAATCCCTAGCACTTCCTGCCTCTCTGCTTTATTCACACTTAGTTTTGGGTCATTTTTTGACCCCATTCTGTTGTCCTTATTTTCTCCAGTGTTTTAATTTACATCGATTATTTTGCAGAGTATCAAAGTAAGCTGGCTGCCTCCTCCGTCAGGCACACAAAATGGATTTATTACCGGCTATAAAATTCGACACAGAAAGACGACCCGCAGGGGTGAGATGGAAACATTGGAGCCCAACAACCTCTGGTACCTCTTCACAGGTCAGTGTTCACACGGTGTAGTGTTGCAAGGTTTTGATGAATTAAATGCTTTAGGAATAAAATATACTCTCACTTCAAGGGAACATTTTTTTTGTTTGTTTCCTGACAGGTGACGTTATGGGTCCGAACAAAAATAACCTTTATATTTTTAACTCAATATTCTCTATAATGCTTTCAGTACCTATTTTGCTTCTGGATCATCGTCTTAATAAATGGATCAGATTTGTTTATCCATATTAGTTTCTCAGCATTGCTGATTCAACAACAGCTCCTCTTGTCAAATAACTTTTAACATTTTAACTAATAACCTTAAAAAGCCATCTAATCAAATAGTTCCAAGTTTAAGTCACTTCAATCCCTCCTTCCCCTAATCTCCAGCAGTGAGGATGGGGTTGGAAAATGTGGAGAAGGGTAGTTTGGGAAATAAGTGGATTATTCTACTTTCCATAAACATGAAAGTAAATTCACTTTTGTAGCAATATTGGTGGAACTCATAGTAAGTCAAGCTTCTTTATGAAAACTGCACCCAGTTTCTGTGCAGTATTTAGAGAATATGTGTTTTATTTTATAAAATGAAAAATCATGTGTTTATTTTAACTATTGGAACCCTTAATTCATGTCAGGCTAGGTTCCTAGAAAACAGAGTCTGAGGTATGCTTTCAAGGTAATGCCTCTTGGGGGGTGCAAGCCTAGGAAAGCACCAGTGAGGGAACAAAGAAAGTGAGCAGGGGAGAAGAGAAATCAATGATGCTGGCATATCATTGAACTGGCCACAAGTTTAGAGAAAGCACAGAGTTTGCTCGGCCTCCCCGGGGTGTCTCCTGAGAGGCCACCTGAAGTACTATGTATCACAATCAGTGGCTGGATAGGACCCTGTCATTGGTCAAAGTCCGCCAATAGGCTGTTACCTATTCTGCATCTCCAAACAGCACCTGAGAAGTCAGAGCATCCAGTGAGTATGCGAACACAGAATTCTCTCCTTGTCCGTAAATACTTTATATGATGATTGCTTGGTCTAAGGTAGCAACAGCACTCAAGAGGGCTTTATAGCTCTAACAAGAGCATGAACTATTGCCAGGAACTTGGAAAGCAAATCATATAGCAGTGGCTCATGATAAGAACTGATGGGTGAAGTTGAGCAATCTGGAATGGCACATAAACTGGGTCCAGGAAAATACACAAACTCAAACTCATAACTTACAGCTAATAAATAAGTTATCACTGTGAATGAGAAAAGAAGAAAGTAACCCCTTATTTACTCCTTTGTCTATACCATATACTCAGTAAATTTCCATTTGAAATCATAGTGTGTACACACACACACAGCACACATTTTAAGCTACTTGTTCAGCCCATACTCTGAGACTTGGTCAAAACCTGTTTTTTCCCCCTCAGGTTTTTTTCCCCCTCAGGTTTTTTTTTTTTCTTTTATGCCAATAAAATTTTAGCCTAATGGTGAGAATGCTTCCAAGGTAGGTTGTCAAAAATCACATTACTTCTTTTATATCTGGACAAAATCTCTTAGGCAGATATTATTGCCTGTAAGCGGAAGTTATGGCACTCTACCACATCATTTAAAAAGCTTAAGAAAAGCCAAGATCCTATGTCTTCTTTCCTGATGAAGTTATGGGAAGAAGATAACGATAACTGAAGTTGAGGTGAGGCATATGTGCTCAATGGGATACTTAGTACAACATGTAGTTTCTTTTGAAAGAAATCACCAAGATTGGAAAAAAATCTTGCTGAAAAGTTTTTAGTATAATTCCGAAGATATATTAGACTAGAAGAAGACCCTCTAAGGATAATTATATCCAAGCCTTTTCCCCCCAGTTTTATGTCACTGTGTAAGTTTAAGGTATACAACGTAATGGTTTGAATTTTGTTTATTGTGAAATGACTGCCCCTGTCAGTTTGGTTAGCAACCATTATATCAGATAGATAAAGAGAAAAAGAAAAAAATTTCCTTGTGATGAGAACTCTTAGGATCTACTTCCTTAAAATTTTAATCTATATCATACAAATGTGAAATGCTTCACGAATTTGCAAGTCATCCTCATACAGGGGCTGTGCTAATCTCTGTATCACTCCAGTTTTAGTATATGTGCTCCTGGAGCAAGCCCCATGCCTTATTTTTTAGTAGATATTGGCATTTGAAGCCCTGAAACCTTTTTTTTTAATTTATTTTCCTTCTCAAATGAAAAAGGTTAAAACTATAAAATAAAATTTTTGTACAATAATTAATTAAAGGATGAGTGTTCCAATTGAAAAACTAAGGATTGGATACTCAATTTATAGGACTATAAATAGCCAATATGCAGGATAAAATGTTCAAACTCATTAGTAGAGAAATGCAAATTGGAACAAAAATGAGTTAGCATTTTCTTTTGATTAAGGTAATAAAGATATAAACGAATGATAATACCCTGTTCTGGAAAGCATATGAGAGAAATAATGAATACTCATATACTGCTGTGGGCCAGAAGATTCTAGAATCTCTCTGGAAAGCAATATGGAGATATGTGTTATACACAGGTGTAAATACATGTGTGTGAGAGAGAGAATGAGAGAGAGAGAACTTCATAGATGTATGATTTAAGTTTTCTACTAGGAATTTATTCCAATTCTTCAGCCATATTTTCTGCAAAGTTTTTAACTATAAACATGTGCACTGCACTGTTACTTTAAGCAAATTATAAGAAAAAAAGACCTCAAGTATCCAAATATAGGCAGTTACCTAAAAAATGTCAAAATCATATCATGGAATACTGTATATCTATTGAAATGAAACAATGTAAAAATACTAAATCACATATTAAATATTTAAAAAATACTGTTACATGAATAACTAAACTTTAAATCAACATTAATGTGTGAGTCTATATTTATAAATAAAAAATATGAATTTTAGGAAAATATTTAGAGTAATATATGCATACCAAAATATTGATAGTGATTGTTACTTACATTTGTAACAACAATAAAATATGTGTTTTAAAATTGTATATATAAGGTAAAAAACAAAAATTCAAGACTCTGATGTCATATTATGACTTTTGGTTATCAAAATTGAAAATTCCTCCCACTAAAGCCAATTCTATGCCCACTGAACAGCTAAATGGTGAACAGTCCAGAAAATAAAGAATAGTAGCCACATGGCCAAAAAAAACTGCTGGTGTGACTGTTTAATATTTATGATGTATATGGCAAATGGAATTTAATACATTCAACTCAGTATTATCAAAGATTCTGACTCCCTAAATATACAAACATTTAGGACCTTCACTCTACAGAAAGTGAAATCACTTAAAAAAAAAAAAAAAAGCCAAAAGTCTTAAATAAAAGTGTCAGCAGGGATGGTTCCTTCTGGAGGTTCTGAGAGAAAACTCATCCATGTTTCTCTCCTAACCTCTGGTGGTTGCTGGCAATCCTTGTCATTCCTTGGCCTATAGATGTGCCTCTCCTATCTCTGCATAAGGATACTAGTCATTGGCTAGACCCCACTCTAAATCTAGGATGGTTTCATCTCAAGATCCTTAACTAATTATATTTATAAAGATGCTATTTCCAAGTAAGGTCACATTCTGAATTCCAGGTATACATGAGTTTTGAGGTAGACACTATTCAACTCTCTAAAGACTCCCTTTATTTTTCCTCTGAAGGACAATCATTTTTAATTATAGTCTCTAATAAACTTTATTCAAAAATAAATAATTCAGTCCTATATTTTAATTCATCTAAAATATATGGGACAATTAGAGCTTTTAATTAGCATGAGATATAACCCATTACCACTCTGGTTTAATACCATTCTGGCCAAAAGCAAAGAAATAGGATGAATTAATTAGCTTGTTATTGGAATAGCTCACAAATGCCCATTCCCATCTTCATAGATTCGTGCGAATCTGGGCTCCAAATTTGAATCCTTTATTTGTAACTGTTCCTTCTTCATTTCAATAATTATAAAGTGAGTTTGGGAAGACAAACAATCTGGGCATTTATGTTTGTAAGTTTTTACATGATATTTTTTATAAAACAAAGTCACACAGACTTCATTTTTAATTTGAAATGAAGAAATAGATGTCTTCAGAGAATAGTCTCATATCCTTAAAACATTAAAAACATGTTTTGCTGAGCCTCTGCCTTGCTCTCCCCTGATGTGTGACCCAACTTCAGTAATGCCTGTTGCATTTCTAGGTGTTGTGGGAATGTCTTCAGTGCTACAAAGCATCAAGGAACCAGAAAGTACTACACACTGGTAGAGTGGCTGTGGTTTTGACTTGTCCCCAGGACATATTTAGTAATTTATACAATTCCTAGTTTGCAGAAGTAATTGATTTTCTGTATGAATCTGCAGTACTTTAGAATGTACAGAATTTGACCCCATGTTTCCAATACCTTTAAGATATGTGGATATATTGATTTGTCTGTTAGAACATTGGAAATGCCAGAATGCTTTAGTTAGATGATATAAATATTCAGGTGTAGAGACTAAAACATTTTTTTTACAATCTTTCTGTTAGACAGGTGTTTTTTGTTGTGTGTGTTTTTTACTAGGATAATGAGGCATCTGCAGTAACAAAGTAATTCAGAGTTATAACAAGGATTTTAAATCACTGCTATCAGTTTCATGTGGGATCCCATGTCAACTAAATTTTAAAGTGTTGTTTTTAATTTTTGAGTGCTCTTCAGAGAAGGTTATTTTGAATTGAATTTGAGAGTTTCCTTGTGTTTCATGGCCAATAGTGAATAAACATAAACATGCATTGGTATTTTATGGACTGAAAAATGAAACAATAGCACAGAATTTTATAACAAGGTTAACATTAGGGGAATAAAGGGCAATTATATTCTTTGAATAATGCACCATCTCTTACCATAAGCCCTATAAAATTAGAAATAGAACAGAATTACAGAGCTTGAAGGCATTTAGTGTTGGGGATAGAAACAGGCAGAAGACAATCTGTTTTCAACAATACATTTTTTTACAGCTAAGGAAAGCA